TTTCATATCACACAAAAAAAAAAAAAAAAAAATATATATATATATATATATATATATATATACACATATATATTAAAAAAATAATAATGTATACACTACCATTCAAAGGTTTAGGGCCACTAATATTTTCTTAGAAAAATTTATACTTTTGAGCAAGGATGCATTAAACTGATCAAAAGTGACAGTAAAAGACATTTATAATGTTACATTTCTATTTCAAATAAATGCTGTTCTTTTGAACTTTGTTTATAAAATAATCTCCATTCTTAAAAGAATCCTGAAAATAAAAATGTATCAGTTTCCACAAAGATGTTCAGCAGCGCAACTGTTTTCAACACTGATAATAATCAGAAATGTTTCTCGAGCAGCAAATCAGCATATTAGCATGATTTCTGAAGATCATGTGACACTGAAGACTGGAGTAATGATGCTGAAAATACACAGAAATAAATTACATTTGAACAGATATTCACATAGAAAACAATTGTTTTAAATTATATTATTTCACAATATTACGGATCAAATAAATGCAGCCTTAGTGAGACTTCTTTCAAAAACATTCAAAAGAAACCTTAAAGACCCCAAACCTTTGAACTGAAGTGAATAGAGAATCCATGTAATTAGCTATTTTGCTGTTACTGACAGAAAAGTTGGGCATAGATCCATTTCTGCATTAAGTGCATTGTCATAACACAAAATTACAAGAATATAACATGCACAATCTTTTTATAAGTACAGTAATTCTGACCTGACATGAGCTATCAGGACAATCGGACTGAGACGTGTGTGTTTTTACAGAGACCTTCAAGACGCTGGACACAGACGCTGATGGATTCATATCGCTCACGTTCTTTCAGGTTTCACTTACACCAACATTTCAACACACTGCAAACACACACCCAAAACACGTAGAGAGATGAACATGTCTGAGATGAATTAGTCAGGTTTAGTTAACCTCTATACATGTGAATAACACGTCTAGTTCAAAGCAGTTGCATTCTATAATGATCTTTCTCTCTGTGTTGCAGTGGATTTCTCTGACCATGTTTGCCTGAAATGGACACAGATTTTCGCCGTTCGTCTGCACTGAGTCCGTCTTCTCATCTGTAGTCCTGCCATCTGAAGAAGAGTGCCTTCATTTTTATACTTCTGTAATGCATTTCTATGGGATAAACAGCCTTAATGATGCAACCCTGTTTACATAGTCCACATGCAAAACACTGTGCCAAACGCGTTTCTAAAGCCAAGAGAAAAACATTTACAGCATGTTTTTTTATCATTTCTGGATCGAGCTGCATGCATTTCTCCAGATGAAACTCTTTCTGTGCCAAATGAATCATTGCCAATTTCAATCATTCTTCATTTTTATCGCCATATTTTATGATCATGAGCTGCATATCTTTCAGTGAATGTCATATCTTAATGCTGTTCGTATAAAGACCGCTGTATTAGACATGCATGCGCTGGTGATGCTGTAGATCGAACCTAGCTTTACTTACTGAAGGGGATTTGGTTTAGACTGAATTTCATGCATGCAGCTGTTTTATTGGACAAACTGAGATGTACTGAAAAACCAAAGGATCTTTTAACAAGCCAAAAGGGACGTACACTTTTTAAAAATGCCATATGCATTCCTTTAGTTCTGTTTATATGAACAATGCAAAACATCCATTTAATACAATCTAGAAAGGAGCAACAGAACTGGGAACAGATTGAATCTGATTTTCATATATACGCAGAACCATGAGCTTTAACAAGACGGCACTTTTCTTTTAATCGAAAGATGAGTATGAAAAAGTGGAGGATTTTCTTTTTTTCCCCCAATGCCAAGCAAAATGTTTTGTTTCTTTTCCAGTGTTGATTCATTTATGTGGGTTTTCAATAAACTTTCTTTTAAAGTAGAACGTTTTTTGGTTCTTGTCAGTGTGCGTGAGCAAATATCTGTAATGTTGGTTGATATATCAGCATTGTCAAGAATATAAATTCTTGTACAATTATGTATGTGGCTTTATGACCTCATTAATTTATATATTTTACATTGAATATTTGTAATTAAAAATCTCTCGGGTGACTATTTAACTAAAAATGCTAAAAGGACATGATGTAGCAATGTTGAAAGTCGGCAACACCTTACAAATTCACTTATTTTAGTCTAAATGACTAGCAGTGTTTAAATTTAAAGAGAAAAAATGTAAAGAAGTGCACAAAAACACTTGGTGTATAAAAACTGTTTTACTTTACTAATACCAAGGCATATACAAACAAAATTGAAACGTTTCTTTTAGTATTTTGTGAAATTAGTGTCATCATGGGTAAAGCGCTGGCTAATGCATGAAGAGAGGCTTTTATGTTTAAATTAACTGGTGTACCAAACTTAAGGACTCGAGCCTCGACCTGCAAGTGGGCACCATCAGACCCTTCCTCCTGCTCTGTGCGTTGTGTTTTTGATGTATATTTGCAATATTCACTGAGAAAACCTGCTCCAAACCCTACTGCGGTGGTACCAGGGTACACTGCTGGAAATACCAGTATTATCCCATGGTGATTACTGTATTTATGGACTTCAAGATATCAACAGTGACTAAATAAAGCTGGCATTGTGTGGTACTTTGTGTAACAATGCATATCAAAGATGAACAAACAAAACAAAAAAAAAAGTTTACCATGGTAGCCGTTAATAACAACAACACTACTACTAATAAAATAGATAATTTAGAATTCTGTATTTCAGTCAAATCACATTAGATTTGAAGGTAAACATAATTGTCCAGATTGTTTGTTTGTTTATTAAGACTTAATTCCTATTTACTCAATATGATTATCATTATATTAAAAAGGTTTGCATGATCATGATGAATTCTGTAATTTCTAGCTATTGTTAACACAGTAAAATCATAATAAATGTCAACTTCAAGATTATTTTTTATACTTTAAGACCAGGGCCTGTTTCATAAAACAAGTTTAGACTAGCTGAAATAAGCCTGGCTTATTTGGTAAACTTGTTTTATGAAACAGGCCCAGATTACTTATTTATGGCTAATTCCAAACAAACAAACAAATAAATAAAAAATTATTATTTAAAAAATTGGATTGAGTTTACCATGACACACTGAGTATTAACCCTACTTGTTATATTTAACTAATTATGTGATGTTTAGCATCGCAGAATGTTGCCCACGATATAGACACATTGAAGAAATTAAAGGTATATTTTTTATTTTGCATATCTATAGGCTATTGTATTATTTTACTTATATGACTTTCTTATAAGCATTTATAAAAGTAAGCAAGCTAATTTATATAATATTTAAAAAAGAATAATCTGTTTTTGCTGTTGTGTTTTAGGTGACTCGTGTGCTGAATGTGGCGTATGGGGTTGAGAATGAGTTTTCTGATCTCTTCACGTTTAAGACTGTTACCGTGTTAGATCTGCCAGAGACAGACATCACCTCATACTTCCCCGAGTGTTTCGAGTTCATAAATGAAGCCAGTCAGCAGCAGGTGTGTATGTGAAAGAAGAATATCCAGAGATAGTGTGTGTGTGTGTCTGTGTCTCTGTGTGTGTGTGTGTGTGTCCCTGTGTGTGTGTGTGTGTGTGTCTGTGTGTCTGTGTGTGTCTCTGTGTGTGTGTGTGTCTGTGTGTGTGTGTCTCTGTGTCTCTGTGTGTGTGTGTGTGTGTCCCTGTGTGTGTGTGTGTGTGTGTCTGTGTGTCTGTGTGTGTCTCTGTGTGTGTGTGTGTCTGTGTGTGTGTGTCTCTGTGTCTCTGTGTGTGTGTGTGTGTGTCCCTGTGTGTGTGTGTGTGTGTGTCTGTGTGTCTGTGTGTGTCTCTGTGTGTGTGTGTGTCTGTGTGTGTGTGTCTCTGTGTCTCTGTGTGTGTGTGTGTGTGTCCCTGTGTGTGTGTGTGTGTGTGTCTGTGTGTCTGTGTGTGTCTCTGTGTGTGTGTGTGTCTGTGTGTGTGTGTCTCTGTGTCTCTGTGTGTGTGTGTGTGTGTCCCTGTGTGTGTGTGTGTGTGTGTCTGTGTGTCTGTGTGTGTCTCTGTGTGTGTGTGTGTCTGTGTGTGTGTGTCTCTGTGTCTCTGTGTGTGTGTGTGTGTGTCCCTGTGTGTGTGTGTGTGTGTGTCTGTGTGTCTGTGTGTGTCTCTGTGTGTGTGTGTGTCTGTGTGTGTGTGTCTCTGTGTCTCTGTGTGTGTGTGTGTGTGTCCCTGTGTGTGTGTGTGTGTGTGTCTGTGTGTCTGTGTGTGTCTCTGTGTGTGTGTGTGTCTGTGTGTGTGTGTCTCTGTGTCTCTGTGTGTGTGTGTGTGTGTCCCTGTGTGTGTGTGTGTGTGTGTCTGTGTGTCTGTGTGTGTCTCTGTGTGTGTGTGTGTCTGTGTGTGTGTGTCTCTGTGTCTCTGTGTGTGTGTGTGTGTGTCCCTGTGTGTGTGTGTGTGTGTGTCTGTGTGTCTGTGTGTGTCTCTGTGTGTGTGTGTGTCTGTGTGTGTGTGTCTCTGTGTCTCTGTGTGTGTGTGTGTGTGTCCCTGTGTGTGTGTGTGTGTGTGTCTGTGTGTCTGTGTGTGTCTCTGTGTGTGTGTGTGTCTGTGTGTGTGTGTCTCTGTGTCTCTGTGTGTGTGTGTGTGTGTCCCTGTGTGTGTGTGTGTGTGTGTCTGTGTGTCTGTGTGTGTCTCTGTGTGTGTGTGTGTCTGTGTGTGTGTGTCTCTGTGTCTCTGTGTGTGTGTGTGTGTGTCCCTGTGTGTGTGTGTGTGTGTGTCTGTGTGTCTGTGTGTGTCTCTGTGTGTGTGTGTGTCTGTGTGTGTGTGTCTCTGTGTCTCTGTGTGTGTGTGTGTGTGTCCCTGTGTGTGTGTGTGTGTGTGTCTGTGTGTCTGTGTGTGTCTCTGTGTGTGTGTGTGTCTGTGTGTGTGTGTCTCTGTGTCTCTGTGTGTGTGTGTGTGTGTCCCTGTGTGTGTGTGTGTGTGTGTCTGTGTGTCTGTGTGTGTCTCTGTGTGTGTGTGTGTCTGTGTGTGTGTGTCTCTGTGTCTCTGTGTGTGTGTGTGTGTGTCCCTGTGTGTGTGTGTGTGTGTGTCTGTGTGTCTGTGTGTGTCTCTGTGTGTGTGTGTGTCTGTGTGTGTGTGTCTCTGTGTCTCTGTGTGTGTGTGTGTGTGTCCCTGTGTGTGTGTGTGTGTGTGTCTGTGTGTCTGTGTGTGTCTCTGTGTGTGTGTGTGTCTGTGTGTGTGTGTCTCTGTGTCTCTGTGTGTGTGTGTGTGTGTCCCTGTGTGTGTGTGTGTGTGTGTCTGTGTGTCTGTGTGTGTCTCTGTGTGTGTGTGTGTCTGTGTGTGTGTGTCTCTGTGTCTCTGTGTGTGTGTGTGTGTGTCCCTGTGTGTGTGTGTGTGTGTGTCTGTGTGTCTGTGTGTGTCTCTGTGTGTGTGTGTGTCTGTGTGTGTGTGTCTCTGTGTCTCTGTGTGTGTGTGTGTGTGTCCCTGTGTGTGTGTGTGTGTGTGTCTGTGTGTTTAACCTGTGCTCCTCAGGGTGGAGTGGTGCTGGTCCACTGTAACGCCGGAGTTTCTCACTCTGCTTCTGTTGTCATCGGGTTCCTCATGTCCCAGGAGAAGACGTCTTTTATTTCATATTTATATTTGATTAATTATATTAAAATATTTTTAATGAATGTTTATGTTTATACTTGTTTTATATATATATACTTGTACATTTAGTGCGTGACTTTTATTTTGAAATGCATCGTGACGGGAAACTGTTCAGAGTCCACACACACGTGACAACACAGCAACTGAAGAGACTTCGACAAAACAAACAAATCGGTGATATATTGACCTGTTTAGTGATCTTTAACGATATTTTACAGGTGTGTATAGAATCATGTCGTGTGAAGCATCGGTCCAGAAACAAGTGCTCTTAATAATGGACAGTTTAGTCACTTCTATAGTGACAGAAATTTGTCAACTCGATATTTTTCAGTCAAAACGTCAAAATGGGAATCCAGAAACTGATATTAAAATGGTAAGTTCGTTCAAAAGTATAATGATTAACATTTTACTTTCACTAAAAAATACCGTGGTAATCATAGTTAACGGTACTTCCAAAATATACAATAGTTGATGGTTATTTTACTGTAAAAAGATAATACACTAATATGGGATCCTTCGATTTAGATATTTTATTTGTTATTTTATAATAAGCCCTTTCCCCCGATGATAGCTGGTTAATATCAAACCACCTCAGTTAATGTTTGAACTATCAGAAAAAAGTAGACCTTGAAAAAAGAAAACATGCATAAATAAATAACAAAATATATGGATTATCAAACCTTGTCATTTTCTTAATAAACGTGGGAGCGTCAATCCTCAACATTACATGTGCGGAAACCTAATAAAGCTAACCTGTTGTATGCAACAGTTAGGTAAGCAACACTTTTAATTTTACTGATTATTTCTTGTTTGATTCACAAGAATCTGACGGCTGCTATAAGGAAAATAACAAACTCTACAGCTGAACACATCTGCAGAATCCTTCATGAAGCATCAAGTGGATCAAGAAAAGATCTTACACAACCAGATCAAGTCAACCATATGGTAGAGCAGCAGTTTGCTGGGAGTGGAAGACCACTTAACACTCATATCAGAGATGAGGAACATGTCAAAGGTGGTTCTTCTCATAGTTAAATCATGTGTTCCTGTTATTTTAATAGATTAAATAAGAAAAATGCACTGTTGTAGGAGGAGATCAGCAAGATTTCACCTCAGCCGTTGTGTCGGGAATCCAGGAAAGATTGAATTGCACCCCATCTGGTGGACATCTTCTTCAGACTGTTGAAGTAACCCACATCCAGCTGTAATTGTTGTGTTTTTGAATATACAAAGGCTTTGATTTGTTGTGCATCAAACTAACACAACCCTGACTTCATCTAGGAAGAGCCGGAGTTTAGATTTGAAGAAGTATTTGTCCATGAAGAGGAACAAGTAGAGTGTCAAACTGCTGCTGTAGATGGTACAGACTACCTCACGTTAATGCAATTGGATTAACATGGTATAATATGTTAATGTAAGGCCTAAATATTCAATTTCATATCTATAAACATGCCTTGTTCATGTTACAGAATCAGTAGAGCCCGATGCAGATGAATCTGAATCTGTAGAGCATCAAAGAGAAGGGCAGTGGACCACTGAACCAAACTCTGAATTAAATGATATTTCAGTACCATTAAACACACTGGATCCACCCGATATTATCGAGACAGTATTGGACGTCCCAACAGACACCGCTGAAACTGCTGCTGTAGATGGTACAGACTACCTCACGTTAATGCATTTGGATTAACATGGTATATTATGTTAATGTAAGGCCTAAATATACAATATAATATCTATAAACATGCCTTGTTCATGTTACAGAATCAGTAGAGCCCGATGCAGATGAATCTGAATCTGTAGAGCATCAAAGACAAGGGCAGTGGACCACTGAACCAAACTCTAAGGACGAATCAAATGATATTTCAGTACCATTAAACACACTGGATCCACCCGATATTATCAAGACAGGATTGGACGTCCCAACAGACACCGCTGAAGAAGTGCAACCGAATGCAAGCGATGAGCAGAACATATGCAAAATCTGCGGAAAGACCTTCACCCACCTCAACAACCTGAGAAGACACGAGCAGAAGCTCCACAGCGGAGAAACGCCTCACGCTTGCCAAGAGTGCGGAGAGCGTTTCGGCTCCAGACGCCGTCTCCAAATCCACCGCAGAGACCACAAGGTGGAAAAACCTCACAAATGCACGCTCTGCGACAAGGTGTTTCGCTTGCCCAACCACTTGAGGAATCACATGATGAGTCACGGTGACCAGAGACCGTTCTCCTGCGCCGCATGTGGGAAGAGCTTCGCCTTGATAAGCATCCTCAGAGCTCATGAGCGAACGCATGCTGACGAGAAGAACTTTGTCTGCTTGCAATGCGGTTCCAAATTCCTCACCAAGTCTTACTTGGACTACCACCAGCGAGTTCACACTGGAGAAAAGCCATACCTGTGCAAACACTGTGGGAAGAGCTTTGCCCAAAAGGGCAACCTCAAGGCACACGAAAGGCTTCACACGGGTGAACAGCCCTTCAGATGCGAGGACTGTGGAAAAACCTTCGTACACGCCAACACCTTCAAATCCCACAAGCAGCTCCACACGGGAGTCAAAGATTTCTGCTGTGAGCTTTGTGGGAAGGGCTTTCGGCGAGGAACGCATCTCAAGACTCATCTACTGACGCATTCTGGAGACAAACCGTTTAGTTGCGATGTATGCGGGAAGACTTTCGCCCTCAAAGGATCTCTGAAGACGCACCAGCTCACTCATACGGGGCAGAAGAGTTACGCTTGTAACGTCTGCAGTAAGCAGTTCACTCAGGCCAGCTCGCTAGCCAAACACAAACGGGTTCATACGGGAGAGAAACCGCACCGCTGCGGAAACTGCGACAAGTGTTTCTCTCAAAGCAGTCATCTTAACTATCACTTGAAGTTCTGCCAGTCTGGGACAAAAAGTTCTGCAAACTCTAACGTGGAAGAGAACTAACTGAGCAGTCATTCCGTTTGTGCCTTTCTTGAAAAAACCTAACTGTGACCAAATATTTGAGACTTTTCTTAGAAGATCTGCAAGATGTTTCATGCCTAATTATTGGATATTATTAGGGTGAATCTAATGAAGAAACTCCTGGGTCAAATTTTACAATGAAATAAAGCAATTATATTTTGCATAAGGAAAACAAAATATATGAGACTATTTGAAGAGTTCATTTGCAAAAACGGATAACTCCGTTTTTAAAAATCATGTTTTTTTTCCATTGTGCATTCCAATTAATCTCAATCAAACTGCAGTTGGGTTATTTTGATTAAGTTAAAATAACAAAAAAAAATACAGCTAACTAACACAATAAAAACATGATAACATAATAAAAAATATGATTTTTGAAAAAAAGTTATCCGTAAACTTCATTTGCAGATTTGTACATTTAATACTCAAATAAAATGTCTCAAAACCAAACTGAAATAAAGGAGTAGAAATGCAATTTAAAATGTAAAAAACGTAATTGCCATGGAAATAATGTCATGCAAAAACAAAAAAAGTCAAATATAATTTTTCTTTCTGATTTTTCTTTGAAATAACAAGTGGGGGAAAAAAAATTGATGGGGGAAAAAAATTAATAAACATTTCAATGCTTTGCATTCACTCGCAAAAATAATGTATTCCCCTGAGAAACTTTGCATTCACTCACAAAAAGCATTGGCATTATTTTCCCTCCTAAGCGATATTATTTCCATCACAGGTTTTGGGAACTAGAAAAAGCATTAAAATATTTTTTTCTCCCATCTCAATATTTCCCCATCACCATGACTCCATAGAAACCGCTGTTTGCCCGTCTGCAGAACTTCCTCATGATTGGCCTTTTCCTCGCTGTCGTAGTCCATCACTGCCTTATTAGTGATCAAAGACAGAGCGAAGACGCGCATCCCACAGTGCCGTGCCACGATCACCTCGTGAACCGTACTCATGCCTAAAACACATGAAGTCTGGTTATTAAACTAGTTCACATAGAACAAATTGCATATAAACAAATTTGAAATTCAATGTTATATAACGGCGATTTTCTCAATATTTAGATTTTTTTTTGGCACCCTCAGATTCCAGATTTGGCCAAATATTGGCACAAACCATACATCAATGGAAAGATTATTTATTCAGCTTTCAGATGATGTATACATTCTAATTTCAGAAAATTTACCCTTATGACTGGTTTTGTGATCTAGGGACACATTTGTGCTGTTTTTTTAATTGTTGATCAAGCATCAGATGGACAAATTGTTGCACCTTGCAGATATTAGCTTTAAGTTTTAGCGCAAACATAACCGGTGTAAATGCTATAAGTGTTCTGGCCTTTGCATTCCACAGGGTCAAAGAGTTTACGCTTCAATCAGGCACACAACACAACCAGTTAAAACTAATTCGGTTTTCAATAAGGTCATGTGTGGACCAAATATAGTTAGTTCCTGGTTAAGAAGGATCTTTAGGTCAGAGTCCTTCAAGTTTGTGCAACTTGCAATTTCAGTGATATTTAAATACACAGAAGTGAACCCTTCTTAAACCCAGAGGCTTGGATCAGCACCCAGGACCGTTTGGATCTGTAATCCAACAATACAGCCACAACCACCTCTCAATTTAACTGTCAGACTGACAAAGAGCCGTATTGTTTACATGTTTTGGACTCGCACGAGCCAGAATGTGTGTATTATAGGGTGCTCGTACCTTTTGGATGGGATATCCCTCATAGAGATGAAACCGTCCCTGCATGCAGACACAAGGTCTGCCCTTCAAAGTGCCAAACACCAGCCGTCCAGCGTGACCGTGCACTGCAGAAGAGAAAGAAATGCACAGATTCAGTAATGGTTTTTAACAAGATAAGATACACAATATTCTAAATTATTCAGTAAACCGCACCTGTACTTTGGGGGAAGTTGGGGATGTCCCTGTAGTTGAAGGCCACCTGGTCTTTCAAGGCGTCAGCCAGTCCACCCAAACCCGAACCGCACACGATGCCCACCAGAGGATGCACTGCAGTCTGGGACCGAAGCCAGTCAGCTGTGGCCTGGCAATCCTCATGGCTGTACCTGCGAAGAGAGAATGGGAAAAATGAGTTTATGAGGCCCCACACATGACTGTAACTGAATGTGTTTCCACATGTCTGACACACTTGAATGTCACACACAGTCGCATTACACTTTTATACAATATACTTACACAACTGACATATATACAATAGCATTTGCACATGTATTACATAACTACATATTATATAACAATATAACTGAATACTGTAACATATTCGAATGCCTATGAAGCCTGCAGATACCAAATAAAAATATCCTGCAACAAGAGCCACTTTCTGACACATCACTGCTGTAAACTGAGCGGCTGACTACTAAAATAAATGTCCTGTGACAGAGCATCTTTATGATTAGTACTTTGGCCATTGCACAAAAAAGTAATATAAAAATCAATTTAGATTTACAATTTAATTGCAGCAAATATACATTTCAATACAATCAATTGTCAAAACAATTAGTCTACTGTTCTCAAAATAACTAGCTGATGTCCAAAAAGCACTTCTCCAGAGATAGTATGGTATTAGTGGTATTTATAAGTAGTAGGTTAATGGTTGACCAATATTATTGGCTAATTAAACATATCTAGAGAGTACGGTGTCAAGATTATATTGTGTCTGTTACACAGTAGCTATATATTTTACAATTTTATTTTTGTACATTTTAACAGAATGTCAACACAATCCATTCAAAGTCAATTTTTCCCTCCAATAAATATGTACATCAAAGCGTTCTTTCTCAACCCCGCGTTTAAATCCCCAAACATTCGCTTAAGTAACGGTTCCGTTCGCTTCGCGGGAAACTGTTCAAAACACCACGTGCTCGTCAAGTGCTGCTAAAATTCGCTTGAATTAAATTTTACACAGAACGGATGAATTATTATAGGTCGACTTTAACCAGCTAACTGAACTCCCTGTACTATGCCACTGTTAGAATAACTTACATAAATAGAAACTCAACCATATAGTTCACTTTCAAAAGACAAAATGAAGACAGTAGAACTAGAAAATTAGATTCGAAAAAAGAATAATCGTTTACCCAGTGCTGCTCTCAGGAAACATGATTAAAATCGCTGGAAAAATCCTTCGGAAATGTCGATGTTACTATGTAGCGATGTATGGTAACGTTAGGCACGACCGTACGCGACGAATTACCAATTAAGTAAATAAAAAAGATGATAATAAAACAACACCACGAGAACGAGACGCGAGAATGAATAAAGCGCTTTGAAAAATCTCGTAGCCGGTTTCTTATAGAGCCGCCGCTCCGCCCCGGGTTTGAAGGGACACCTCCTGACGCAAATGCCTCTGGGTGGGCCGTCATGGGCCCCCGGTCTGTTATCAGTAACATCTCCCTAAAACTTGAGCAACAGCTGTCAGACTGAACAGCCTGGAAATTGGTTTTCCTAGATTAGATTTATGGATGGTTGAACAACACAAACGCACGTGACTAAGAGTCATCCAAATATAAACACTGTCATGTGGGTCCATGTGTATTTGGCTCGTTCAAACTAATTCACAATGATTCAGATAAAGACATCATGCACTTTTACACAGATAGCCTCAACTGCCTTTTCTTTTTGGCTTTGTATCAATAAACTGGACATCTCGACCAACAGGCGTATGATATGTAATACTAAAATTTCAGGGTGTGTTTTTAAAAAAATTAAAGGGATAGTTCACCCAAAAATTCTGTCATCATTTACTCATTCTCATGTCGTTCCAAACCCGTATGAGTTGCTTTCTTATGTTGAACACAAACGAAGATATTTTGAAGATTGCTGGTAATCAAACAGTTGGTGGTTGCCATTGACTTGCCATTGACATTTTTTCCTACTATGGAAGTCAATGGCAACCACCAACTGTTTGATTACCAGCAATCTTCAAAATATCTTCGTTTGTGTTCAACATAAGAAAGCAACTCATACCGATTTGGAACGACATGAGGGTGAGTAAATGATGACAGAATTTTCACTTTTGGGTGAACTATCCCTTTAAGTATGTAAAACCTATTTTGTTGAGTTCTGAACATGTGCAAGAACATATTTCGTCCCGCTTTGCTCCGCCTGGGTCAACATTGCAGAAATGCCTACGAAAGTTTCATAAGTCAAAGAATTCAGTTCTCCAGCATTCCCCTCATGCTAAATCAGGGGTGTCCAATCCTGCTTCGTCCTGCAGAGTTTAACTCCAGTCCTAAATAAACACACCGAAACCAACTAAACAAGGTCTTCAGATTCTCTAGAAACTTCCACGCAAGTGTGTTGAAGCTGGCTGGAGGCAATCTGGACACTGGCCCTCCCGGAGCAGGATTGGACGCTCTTGTACTAAATGTATCCTGAATTCATCACAGAAGTTATTGCAGCATTTGCATTTACATTTAGTCATTTTGTAGATGCTTTTATCCTAAGTGACTTACAAATGTGGACAATAGAAGCAATCAAGAACAAAAGAGCAATAATATGTAATTGTTGTTCTTATTCCTATTGTTGTATATCTCACCGTGGTCCTGCGAGACATGACATTTCATTCCATTATATGTCCACACATGTAGCAGAATGACAATAAAGTTCAACTTGACTTGACTTTAAGTGCTTTGACAAGTCTCAGTTAGCCTAATATAGCAAGGTTTTTTAAATAATAAATTCAAAGGAAACATGTAGATAGAATAGAAAAACAATAGAGGATTCTATTTTTAGAGGCTCATTTTTATATTAAATAAAAAGAAAACAAGTAGATAGAATAGAAAAAGAATAGAGAATTCTATTGTTAAAGGCTCATTTTTATATTAAATAAAAAGAAAACAAGTAGATAGAATAGAAAAACAATAGAGAATTCTAGTGTTAGACGCTCATTTTTATATTTAATAAAAAGAAAACAAGTAGATAGAATAG